TGTGCTGCTACGGCAACATCTCAGGACGGTAATCTGGAACATAAACACCCATTTCATACACATTTTAGATATTTGATCTTTATGAAACACTTTTAGTGAAAAGAATTACATATCGATTATGTTCAAATGTGGCTATTTCAACACAATTCCAGGATCTAACGTCTGAACGCGTTGCATTTACAGTTATTTAGCAGATGTTTCTGTCCAAAGCGACCTGCGAGTGAGGAGCGATAACCTGTGCAGACAGGCCCTGCATCGAATGCTTAGTAAGAGCCGTCAGCATAAAACACACACACACACACACACACACACACACGCAAATCCAAAGCAATCAATCATCATAAGCAGTGAGCTCAAACATCTCCACAGGCAAAGAACTGGGAGGTAAAATAAGGCAGCACATGGGAGAAAACGGATAATAAATACCTCAGTGAGTTAAGCTGAAAGAGCCAAGCCGGGAACAGGCACGACAGCCCCCCCAGCGGGAGGGCCGGCCCCGGCCTCATTACTCATTTATCGCTGCATTTAATGCCCATATTGATGGCCGGTGCATATCATTTATTAATAGGTGTCACTGACGGACAGGGAGCAGAGGTTCCTCGGAGACCAGCGCAGTAACGGCCCTCATTGCCCAGGAGAGCCTGGCCGGTCTGGCCAGACAGGGAGCAGAGGTTCCTCGGAGACCAGCGCAGTAACGGCCCTCATTGCCCAGGAGAGCCTGGCCGGTCTGGCCAGACAGGGAGCAGAGCACCGCTTCCCAGGGACTGAACACTCACTACTTTTGTTTTGTTATTATTGCAAAGAACAATGGTAATATAAACTTAGTTCTAAAGGCTAGATAAAGTACAAGGGTGCAGATACCAGACTGGGAGCACAGAAATAAGTCCTTCAAAAGGCTTTTGTTACCTGGGTTGATTTCAGAGGTCTGGGTCAGACCTGTGCTCTAATGTCAGCAATCCCATTCCTGGGGGATTAAGGACCTGAGCGAATGTAAGATTTCAGAGAACACCAAGCCGAACTTCAGTAGCTTGGAAAGTGCTTCTCCCCTGTCTTGATCCACTATTCCTGGGAACCTCTGGACCTGCACAGTCCCGACCTTGGGGGATCGCATGGGGATTATTTAGAGTACCTATGTATCAGTCTGCACACTATGCAAAAGTACAGACAACTCAGTACTGCTTTGCTGTCAGTCAGGTCAAGGTACAGGGCTGCCTGTCACCTCAACAGAAGCACGTGAACCAAAAAAATATACATCCACAAGCACATGGCCATTGTCTTCTACACCTGAATCATCTCCATCGCTGCCCTGGCGAATCCATGGCCACTCTGTGTGCTTAGATGGACACCTCTGCTGCTCTGGCCGCCAGAAGAAGCTGAAACGCTCATCACCCTTTTGGCTCGTCTAGGGGGAGATGTCTGTCCAGGCACATGTACGGCCCCCCGGGGCCCCGGCCGGCTTTATCGCCGGCAGCTTCCCGTGGACACTGACGCCCAGACGGGCTGGCATTCTGAGCCCGGGCTTTGGCTCAGACCCATCTCTCTGTGCCGCTGATCTCCGTCTCGGCCGCCCACTCCCCCAAACCTCCCCCACCACCGTTCTGCTTCATCGTTCTGCGTCTCACTTTTGCCTTTGTATCAGTCCCAGTCCTCCACTTTTCTTCCCTGCCATACATGCCAATAGTTGTCCTCCTTTAATACTGCTTAACTTACTACAGATATTTCCTTCTTCCACATGCTACCCCTCACCCCAGGTATCTTTACCCAACTCCCACAAACACATAATAAATCTGTCCGGCCGTACCCCACCAGCACCAGAGGGATTCTCCGCCCTTCCCGCCCCGACACCCCGCACACGCGGATCACCAGGCACAGCTGTGCTGTGGGGGGGCGGGGTTAGGGGCCAGAGCCTCCGCTTCTATCCAAAGTGTCGGAGAAATGCATTTGGCTGTGAAATCTGGGTATGCACTGCCCCCTGCACCCCTCCCCCGCCCAGGGGACGCTGGCCGGCACGGCCACCGCACTCCTAAATGGAATGTCTTTTTCCAAACAGCCGTTCCCCTGCAAACAGTCGCTAATGTGCAGCCGCCTGCATTTAGCGTATCTCACTGTAATCAGAAGCAATTCAAAAATCAAGGTCCTTTTCTGAATGTCCCCACTGATTTAATAAAGCTCCACTCACCATGCTCTCATTCTTCAGAAAAAAAGAGCTCTGATATCGAAAGACGGGAGACCTAAACGGTATAAGGACTGAGTGCAGTCGAAGGCGGCATGTACAGTCATTTTCACAGCCTCCGCCCTGGGTCATGCCTGACATTATCCGTCTCTGTCATTAATCCTACGCAGCATCTACACTTCAAGCGTATCCACAAATAACTGAGCAGTCTGATTTTTGACACCCTCCGGTCTTTTTCAGTACAATTGCCTTTTAAATGACTTTAATGGGAAGTTCTGAGGTTCATCGACAGGTGACAAATGCAAAATAGCTTGTGGTGACAGTTTAGGAGCGATGAGCACCGAACGACAGAAGGAAGCAGAGGCACCATATTCAGCTGCCCAAACATAAAGTAAACAGCAGCTATGCAATACCCACACGTGACAGGCTTAGGCTACAGATTCAATCGGGGCTGCGTGGCTAAACGGAATAGGGAGTCGTACTGCAGCACAATGCATCTGGTATCCTTCCACCACAAGGGTGAGGGGGGAGATGGATCGGCATGTAGACTGGATGCTGCAGGGGTGAGTAATAAAGAGATCAGTTGCCTTTAAAAGTGACGCACCAATCAGAAAGCAGAGCTTGCAGGCCTAACCTGCGAGGTGTAGAGTAGGTGGCCAACGTGAAACGGAAAGCTGCATTATCACAGGCCTGAATAACCACTGCAGACCACAGAGCGAGTTCCCCAGCTGCCCTGTGTGGATCTGCTAACCGACAGCTTCTACTTAACACCACAATTTGAAGAGCTAACAAAAAGCATCTCAGTTTCTCCCGCGTTTAAAATCACAGAAGAGCAGAGAGTGGGCAAGCAGAGATTTTACCTCTGTATCTTCGAATTTCAAAAGAAGCCAAAAGAGTTACAAGTAGAACATGTTTGACTCACAGGGTCTCTCTCTCTCCTAGGTGCTACCATAATACTCACCCACACAGAGGCATGCGGACAAAAACGCACTCAGCTCACAAGGAGGGGACATCATTCTCCTACACAAAATGAGCTGCAGTCATCCCCCCTACACACATCAATCCTTACATTAGCCAAGTGCACATGCACTCACACGCAGCCGTGGTTAAAAAAAGAGACTGTCTGTCTGCATGATTGACTTAGCTGCAACAGCAAAGCCTGACTGCCCAAACCCTGACGTTTAATGCAGATAGCTGGCCCAGTTCTATTTATGAAAGCTCTGCTTACAACACACACACACACACATTTGTATACATACCTTTGTGGGGACCATCCATTCATTTCTATGAGCAAAACCCTAATCCCAACTATGACAACCTTTAACCCCCCTACCCAGCCCTAACCTTAACCATAAGTAACTATGACAACCTTAACCCCTACCCAGCCCTAACCTTAACCATAAGTAACCAAACAATTTAAAAAAATTTTAATTGCAGTTACAGTTTTTTTTTTATAAAATTCAGTTTCCCTTGTGGGAAATGAAGAAATGGTCCCCACAACATCAAAATAACAGAGCTTTATCACATCATGGGGACATGTGGCTCCCACAATGCAATATATATATGACCCCCACACACACACAGACACACACTCCAAAATCATGTCTCAAACAGCCCACACAAATGATGAACCCCAACAACTGAACAAGAAAGAAGTCACCAGTTAATGCCTCGTAGCTCCAGGTCGGATATGCGTATTCTCCATTAGCTAAAATACACAGAATACTCGGTAAAATGAGTATTATATGAGTATTTACAGCCACATTTTTCCATAACAGAGAATGAGATCGGGTGAGATAGACATGAATCTCTGGGACATGGCTAAGATCAAATAGGGCTTTCATGGATGGTGCCAAATTACTGGAAGGAAGGTCAGTTTACATGCAGGTGATCTTCACATGTGTCTGCACACATACACACAGGCACACACACACACACACACACACAATTATATGAAGCTCAGCTGCTGTATGTCGTCTCACATGCACTGTTCTCCCGAAAAAGCATGTAATACAGGCTACACATGCCCCTAATGCATTTTCTCACACTGCTATGTCCAAACATGCACACAGAGAGGACCAATCAGAAAAACACCCTATCAGCTGCTGATTTCCCCACGTCTGCTCTTTCTGTCAACTGCTGGCAAAGCCAAATGGACACTGCCACTCCGCTTCACGTGCTGTAGGGAGCAGAGAGTCCAGCAAGGCAAGCTCCGTCGACGGCAGACACTGGAATAGGCATTAATCAGTGCAGTGCCGGCCATGCCGTGGGGGCATCCCTAAAGGGGCACAGGGACCACAGTGGCCAAAGAACTAAGCTCTGTCGCCACAGCGCCCTCCAGCTTCGGCTGTTGATTCTGTCCGCTTCTCCATTCTGCCGTTATACTTGAATTCGCAGGAATGATAACATGCTAAGTTGTGACAGGGTCTGTTACAGCTTTTCCTCTCTCGAAACATATAGGTCGCTGGATAATCGTTAGTTTGCTCTGGCATGTGACACAGCCAACTGCAGTCAAGCACTGCTTTCCGCTTCATTACTGCCGACAGCCAACCGTAATAAAAATAAGACAAGACGGCACACAGATCATATCCATCCTACCCTTCTGAAGTCCCAGCGGGGGGACGACAAACTATAAATGTCATTTATGCAACTAAAAAAATCAATTTCAGTTCTAAGTATTCAGGTGCTGTGCATTTAAGCACCATTATTTATTATACTGATATGTACTGTTGTGTATCATCCAGTATAGAAACAGGCCTTGGTGCTTCAGTAGCGAGTATGAGAATGAAAGGCAAGTATACAGTGCAAGGAGTGGAGGAGGACTCACTGTCTGTGCAGGGTGGTGGCTGGGCTGGTGCTGGAGCTGTCCGTCCGGTCCAATCTCTCCCTGTCTTTCTCTCTGTCCACTGGGGCCGATCCACAGGAGAGTCCCCGTGAAAGCCTGGTGTGCACACGCCGGTCCCGGGCCGGCACCGGGGGAGGGGGAGGCGGGCCGGTGCTGGCGTTGCTGTTGTGGGAGTGGGCCGTGTGGCTGGCCGTGGAGGCTGCAGGGTTCTGGTGGACCAGTCTGCCAGGCTCCGATGCGCGGGGCTGGCGGTCTAAGCGGAGATCCTTGTTTTCTTGGCTCAGCCGGTCCAGCTGGACCTCCAGCTCCTCAATCCGCCGCCTCTGAGTTTCCAGGAGCTTCTGCTGGCTCTCAATGATGTTGTTGAGCTCAAGAAGGTACTCAACAGCCCTGTTGGGGCTCTCCGGGCTGCCCTGACCTGCGTCCATGGTCAGGGGCCTCGCACCTGGCTAACCGCAGAAGCAATTACCCAGGATGGCTCTGAGAACGTGTCCCCCCCCCCACTGAGAGCAAGTGGGGGGGAGAGGACTATCAATGAATGGTCTGACAAAGGTGGGTCACCGATCTGTTTTTCACGCTTCTCTCCCTATGAGTTATGGTGGAATAGAAAACATCCAGTTTACACTGTCTCAACTTTTGGACTGTTAAGAATTAAATGTTCTTGTTGAGATAGAATCCATAAACAAAGGAATTCTACGTGTGTGTGTTTCTGTGTGCGGGACTTGGTGTGGTTCTTTCACATGTAACCTGCATGTAACCAAAAATGAGGTCCAGTGAAGGGAATCGTCGATTTTTCAGGAGGATGAAGACAACAGTGTTGTGAGGAAGGACATCATAGCCTGTCAAAGTCTATCACTTTTGAAATATACTATGTATTTTTTTCGGGGGGATAGGATTAGGGGATTCCTGTATGTCAGGAGGGGGGGCTGTCTGACAGCCGGGGAAAAGACAGGAGCTTGTAACCCTTCACTTTCTTCTCTTCTACTCCCCAGAATTTATTTCATTGGCCATGTTTTCAAAAGGCCACCAACACAGGCAAGGTCAACAAAATGAATTCACGAGAAAGTATCACTCAGATACTCCAAGTATCTGAGTGAGCGTCAGTAATCCAGATAGAGGTGAGATTGATTTCCGTGCCTCTGCAGTATCTGTTCATGTAGTTACTCCCGATTGGCTGCTCCTTTATAAAGTAAAACTGTGGTTTTTCTGTTTGGCTAATCACTGCCAATCAATGAATCCGTTGAAAAAAAAAAAAATCTAAAGCAAATACTCAGCCTTCCATCCCATGGAGGGGGGGGGGGCCGAAAATGAGGAGTATAAAAGAAGTGCTTAAAAAAAATTGAAAATCCAGTCGGAGAGAAAGTGAGCTACATATGTCCATAGTAACAAATGGCTGAGCATCTCCCAAACTTCATCTCCATCAGAGCAAAGCCATCTTCTTCTACATCCATCGTTTGTGCAAATTCGCCATCCCTCTCTGCATCTGCACACATACTCCTGTAGTGTCCCCCCCTCTGCAGCTGACCACAATGTGCTCCCCGTAACCGCTACTCACTTCAGTTTTCTAATCTGCAAGGCACGCACGCACACACTCACACACACACGCTCTCACTCTCTCACACACATACACACACACACTCACACACACACTCACTCAACTCCCCCCAGAATCACTCATTGCCTTATTTCTTGGACATACAGACTCGTCATCTCCCTTATGTCGACTCACAAAAAAATTATTTGTTCGCAGTGCACATCGCTTACTCTCTGGTTTTCATAACACTAGGCTCTGAAAAGGTCCCATTTCTATCCTTTCTCTTCGAACGACTCGTCAACATTCCTTGAATCCTCCGGTTGATTATTCCTTTTTCTTACCTATATCTAATTCCGTATATGTTTAAATAGTAGAACACTGATCAAATGCCCAAAATGAAATAAATTAAAAATTATATGTTTAGATGAAGCAACGATATCTTTTCCAGTCCCCCTCGTTTGCTCCTCCGTGTAACACCTGCTTCCACCCTGGCAGGCGCTGCGGAGACGGAGAAACGACGAATAGGTGGGCAATAAGGATGAACAACAGACCAGAAATTCTTTAACTGCTGTCAAGATGTCTTGTATAAATCTTCTCCTCGGTCGTTCCAGAGCAGTCTTCTTAACTCTTCTGCTGGTATCCACTTCAAACGTCAGTTTTTATCGGGATATCCCCGCTCCGACGGCAGAATGCGGCTCTCGGACGGTGATTCAGCTCGAGGAAACGCCAGCTATTGAACGGCGATGGCAAAGCAGCGCTGTAGTCGGTGCTCTTCAAATGCATGCAGATTAAACAAAAATACATATGAAAATATATATTTATATAATTAAGCTGTCATTACAGAATCCCAAACAGACTTGGGTCGTTTCCCCATAATTATTACGGACTAATTATAAAACTGTTCTTGCAGATTCAATTTATTTTCCATTAAGGAGGTAATTGGGTAAATCATTTATGCATTAATAATATTAATACATATATGCTCCGGTTAATCATGCTGTCTTTACAAATGATGCATCGTTTCTAAATATATATTTCAGTATATTCATCATATGATATTCACTTCTTTCTTTGCGCCAGTATTTCTTCATGCGTATTTCCACGACGCTCTATCCGAAAGAGATGAAAGTCAAACCCGTCCCACAGTCGCTAAAGGTATCGGATCCGTACTTGGGGGAAGCGGAATTTGCGAGGCAGATTCCCATCCCCGCCCGTCGGCTCCTGCTACTGCACCTGCCGCCCCCCTCCGCCATTCCATTCCGCTGCGCCGCAGAGCGCGCGAGCGCGCGTCAGTCAGTCAGTCGCTGGCTCGCGGTGCCGCCGTGAGCGTGTCTGACTGGAGAGCGGGACACGCGCTGGCAGATCCTACGCTGGTCTCTGACTCGGCGGAGAAGCGCTGCTTCCTCTTATCCGGCGATATGACGTTAAATGGCGAAGCAGCTATAACTGGATATTGCTAGGAAACCAAGCAGCCACATCGGCCATTTTGGACCTAACGACGTAGGACTTTTAATTGAACAGACAGCTTCGGACTGAGCCAAAATGGCCAGTGCGGGTCGTTTATCTTTCTGTCTCCCCGCCACCCGCCTGCCCAAAGGAACTTTCTAATTGAAATTAAAAAATTCATGACACTTAGTATTATTTAGTATTAATGTTTGAAAAGTACTGAAGTTTCCTGAAAATTAGTACATGTTTTTACTTAAAATCTTTTTAGATGAAATCTATTGCCTATTTGATAGGCTTGCTCCATTATTTTTAAAATTAAAACCATATTAATTAAATGTCTGCCAGTATAGAAGAATCTGTTGAGCTGCCGACGCTATTGCGCATCTTTTCTCAAACCTACCTTCTGCCCATGTGAAGGAAAGCATCAGCTTTGAATTTGATGGTCAGTTAGACATACAAAGCTCATTGATTGACCATTTAAATTTCAAATGTAGTTTCACTCCATGGAGATCTGGGAGCCACTAAGGTAGTGTGGTGCTCCCTTTAGTTACCTAACCAGTTTCTCTGTGTGATTCAGTTTAACTTGTTTTACTGGCCAAGTTTGCACTACCTAAGCATTTAATACACAAAACAAACTGAGTAATATAAACATGTCAATAAAAGTAGATGTGATGTTTTTGTTCTACATAAAGAACTGTGCAAAATGTTTAAATGTTTCAAATAAAATGTTTTAAGGCAATGTTTTTCTGGGTAGTATGTGTACATAATACAATATAAGTATGTGTATACAATATAAACTAACGGGAATTTCTTCTGTTCTGCAAAAACTTACTGATACCTTGTTGGATAGCTTAGAAGAACACTGCTTCTGTTCTCAAACCTGTTCTCAGGGTCACCCAAGACATACCATATATTCATCAAATTTCACCACCAGCTCAATTAATTAAATTAGTTTAAAAAAAAAAGACAGTGAGGTATTTATTAGTCATACAAGGTGATATATGCTAGTCAAAAACTACATGGGTGTATTGGATGGTTGCTGGAAACACTGGGGTGATTTTAGAAGAGGTTTGGAAATGGCAAAGCCGACCTTTTATAGGCAATATTGTAGTTTTACACCAAAATGAAGATCATTTGAACATCGTTTTCTTTGACTGCCTTAGACTTTTGCACAGTACTGTATAATTACGACTGCTGAAATATTATGAGCACTCCTTGTCTAGGTATGGAATTCAGAGGGAACCAGGGCAATCCCTCCCTTGAATCAGAATCTGTATTGTTAGCAGGTATGGTTTTGAGGATAAGTACTGTGTTCTGCACTCCCTGTATCTGTCATACCTTAAAGGAGAGCATGGTTCCCCATCAGCCTTTTTATCTACTGCGACATGAGCACAACCTCTGGCAGCCAGGAGTTCTTCTGTCAGCAAGTTCCATTCCCCATCCTTTGCTCACAGATCCTGCATGTGGTCATCATTTCAGTTTGCTTACCATTGTTCACTATGCATAAGTTGGCATTTGTAGACCGAAGACACTAGCATTTCATTTGGTTTTCTTGTATGAGTTCCTTTCAGTCATGGTGTGTTTGTGATTAAAGTGAAGGTACTAATTGTGTTGATGTGTGCTAATAGCCAGGTCACTGTTAGTACTCTTGACTCAGCTCCTGGTATTGCACAACTTTATGAAGGTATAAGTATATGTTTTTCTGTCTCTTTGTGTCTAACTCAGACTGTAACTGTTTACAGCTAAAAAGTAGGGTTTTTCCTGCCCATATAGATTCATTTATGTTTTTTTAGGAATCTCTACCCACAAACCTTCAGTCTTCCCATGAACGCCTCTAGGAAGTAAAAATATAGACACCCAAGTATCTAGCTGCCTGGCACAACCTCAGGGACAGTAAAAGTTATGGTTTAATAAAAACATTTTTATTATTTTTAGCTGATGTCATCAATATTTTCTGTCTCTCTCTGCACACCCACTAGACCTTAAGCATTGCAAATCCAGAGTAGTTTTGCAGTGAATGTCATGTCTTCCAGCAGCTTTACAGTGCATACTCAGTGCATCGCTTCCTCACTGTGAGTGCCACCATCTGGTTTCTCTTCAGCAGTGGTCCCAAATCATCTTCTATTGAGGTGGAAAGATTGGGATGGAAATGAGCTCGCATTGCAAGGGCACTCGGGCCCTTCAGATGCACAGGGTGCTGGCACTGCAGGCCGCCTGGGTGCTGGCACTGCAGGCCGCCTGGGTGCTGGCACTGCAGGCCGCCTGGGTGCTGACATGCTGAGGTGGCACGCTAGGCCTCTGCTTCTCGGAGCCTGTTACTCCTGCTCTAAATGCGTTCAAAGACAGTGACGGCTTCCATTCAGTCTACTTCCTATGTATCTGTCAAGATAAAGATATAAGAAAGGATATCAGTCTGCCATGGGCTAGTCTCCCATTTAGAGGCAGCATTTCCCAATCTGCTCTTCGGAGACCCCCGTAACCCTTGTAAGACCATCTCCTGGGGGTGGGAGGGGGCAAAAACATGGACTGTCTGGGGGTCCCCAAGGATCAGATAGGTATTCCCTGGCTTGTGCCCTGTGCCAGCTCTGTCTAGGACAAGGAGTCAGAGGATGGATGGATGGTCAGCATATCACAATAACAGTCCACTTATCTCCCAACATTGCAGGGCAGTGGGAGCCCACAACATGCACACAACCAAGGGCAATTCAGAGATACCAATAGTCTTTGGCCTGTTGGAGGAAACCTATGCAGCAGAGAGTATGTGACACACAAAGAACATGGGGGACAAAATCCCAACCCTAGAAGTTTTAGGCAACAGTTCTACCCACCAAGCAAATTATAGGTTTGTGGAAGAAGAACTGATGCACTAGGTTTGCATCTCCTGTTCATTCCCCACCCCCCAGGATTCCACCATCTTGTTGTCCAGATCTGTGCTACCCTCCAGCATACTGCATTCTGCTCTGCACTGATCCAGCATCCTTCTCTACCTCCCACATACTGTCCCCTCTGTGCACCTCCACCACCGTGCTTTGAGGTAGACAACACACACAGCTGGGCTGTTACAGAAGAGAGAGAGAGAGAGAGAGAAGTGAGAGAGAAGAGTGAAGAACTGTCTGAAATTACTATCTATTTTGTTAAAAAAAAAAAACACTGTCATAATACACTGCGTATTATTGACTAAATATTCAACTGAAGTCTATACTGCATATTTGATTGTATTATAATATCAGATGTGCCTGCATAGGATAAAACAACTTGTTTCTCAGTACTACCTGTGCATATGGCTCAGCGATTCATTCATCTCAGTTACTCTCAGCTGGATCCCTACTAACAATGGACAGACTGGTACTTAAAAATGCTTTGTGTGTTTCTGAGTCCAAATGCTTTCTTTGTGAGAGTCGCCTCAGTCTCAGGTACAGGGGGCAACTGTGTTCAAAACTGGAGAAGAAACAGGAAAAATCCCACAACGTAGGAGAGGCTGTGTTGCCGTTGTTTGTGCACAGCAAGGCATAGTGCTCCACTTCCTAATGCAGAAGCCAAGACAGACAGGGAAAGGATGTAAAATGGCAAAAATAGGGGAGTGAAAAGCAAGAAGGAGATGTGAATTCTGCTTCTCCCACACAGCAGTCTTAATTATTCAGCTGCAAAAAGTGATTCACTCTCGTTCATTCTCTCTATCATTCTTTCAGCTTAGTGGCTGCAATGTGGAACATTTTTTCTGGCAGCATTTCCTGTTCTTATAAAAGTCAGAAGCGTTCCTGAACTACTTTGATTATTTACACTCTCATCCAAGGTCTGCTGGCTTTCCTTCTTGCTATAAACAGAACTATGAAGAACCATGAATTATTGCATGGTTTCCTCAACATGAGGTCTCGCTGGCAAGCTGACTGGGCACAAGACATTTCGGTGCCATGAATTTCTGAAGTGTTTTCTTCATGATGTGGTGGCTTATCTGGCTTCGGAGGGAATCTGGGTCCCCACGCTTTACTTCAATGGAGTTGCCTTCAATTTACCCATCTCCCACTGGGAAGGATGCCAGAGGGGAGGCCACATGTTCGCGTTTCAGGTGGCCTTTGCGGTAGGTAGCAGGTACAGCGTCGTTACCTAGGCCTTCCGGCTTGCCCCTGTCACACAGTCTCAGGGTCTGCTCTGCTGAGGCAATTCGTAGTCTACCATGATGTCACTGGGACTCATAGCAATCTGCCTCCTTAAGAGATGAATAGCTGTTCATGGTAGGCCATGGTTTCACATCAATATCCAAATGGATTATGTAATTGTTTCTAACACCTCCCCCCTGCTCCCAGCGCAGTCGTTCTCGTGACTCCAAATGCTCGTCTGAGGTTAGTGAGGGGATTCGCCTTCCCTGCAGCATCCGCATGCTGTTTCTCGCGCACCTTCCCAATGTTTCTTTTTATGTCAGGATTGAGTCCAGCTTCATCTGACAGCCTCCTGTCTGTAATTACGAGGCCACAGGCCACATTAGGTATGCAGGAATTTGCTTTCCAAAAGCGCTCCCATGTTTGGATCCCTCCTGCACCAATTCTCCTCACTTTTTTCCAGCGGGGGGGGGGGGGGGTTTGTCCTGTATGTCCTTCCCCTCCTGCTGTTCATGTCGTAAATGCTGGACACAGTACCCACGCCCCCGCCCATACATTTTCACTTGTATCTGCCTTGCAAACATACTGTGATGCACAAGCATGCAAGTTACCATGGGATTCGGAAGCAGGGAGGGGTTTTTGAGGAATAAGACCACAGAGAAAGTGAATTTAGTACAACAAAGCAGGTCTAGAAGGACCGACTTGTCACTCACAAGGGGTGATTTACTGCGTCTGCAGCCAGCAAATGAAAAAGCGCTTTAGAGGCAGTCGGGGAAGACAGCAGAAAATGAATACAGTTTGACGTCGGCTCAGAGTGATCCTGCAGGATCCTTCTGGAGCTCTGTC